TATACCTATGATGTCAGTTTTTCAGTTACCTCATGTAGAAAATATGGCGTGTGACACCTGACCTTGAGGCCGAGCTCACTGAGCTTCAAACTTGTCTGCGAGTTTGAACAGATACACCTGCAGTTGTCGCATTCACAGGAGTCCACGAGGCCCTCCTGTTAGCTTGCCGGGCAGGGTGATGACAGTACCCCATCAGACTCGTGATTTTCATGATTTTCTTTACGCATTTCTTTAATAAATGATTGTAAAAAGCGAGGCACTTGCTTGCACTGGTAAAAAGAGTGATCCTTTTGTTGAATCCAGCTGAGATTTCCCATCGTTTACATCATTCCTAAAAGGCTGCCAGGGTAGCACGTGTCTAAACTTTTCAATAAGATGCTTTAAACTGTTATTGTGATAATTCTTCAGCTCTCTTATACTAGGACTGTGTTAAATGAGCAGTCTACCATCATGAAAATAACTCCCTTTTCTATGACATAGAGAAAATCACAAGGATTTCATACAGCAGTGGTGCCACTTCAGAGAAGGTGAGCCCACCATGAAGCATTGCAAACAGCAGCTCTGAAAAGCAATGTTTAAGAAAAAAACCCTCCAACTCTGAATATTTCCACTTCATCTCGAGTGCTCTGATTACTTTTCTTCTGGTCTCCTTAGACGATTGCTATTCATCTCTGAAATTATAGTATATGCTGACAGCATTTACAAGATAAGAAGGAAGCTTTAGTTCAGTATAAATGTGCTGGATTGCTGTTTTTCGTCCACCTTGCAGTGAAATGCAGTACACACACCCGCAAGATATTCACATATTTTACTTTGTACACCTGTTTGAAGCACAGAGAAACGTCTCCTGATGCAGGGGTCAATCAATAAAGTTTGCCCTGAGAAAAATACAATTATGCCCCTTTTTAATGGTCAGGTACCAGGTTATGCTGTTGTTTCTATGTTCTTTAAGCACATGGGCAAACAATGAAAGAGAAATGATAGAGGTGGGTTGACCTGCTTTAGGGCAGGTTTCTTGGTTTGTATACATATTCATTATGCAATGCTACAAATTCACAAGAACCAGATGTTATTATAGAAGCGACAGAAACAAACATAACATATCAGCAGGTTAAGGCATTAAAACTTATTATTCTGTGAGCCACATCACTGTCAGCCACAGTGATCTTCTTTCCATTGATAAAGGACTAATACATTGTATCCTATGCTGAAAGAAGGAAGCACGTTTTCTTAGTATTTAGAGAGATCGTGGCTGATACTGGCTAACCAATGTTATAAAAAACAATTTTAAAATAATCGATGTATGTGCTGATTTGCTTTGACCTCTCCAGCACATTCACGCATGTAAACAAACCAGTGCATGCAAATGAATATGCAGGCTGACCTGATCACCCTTTCCTCCGTTCGATATGTACAACAGTAAAGTGTACAAAGGTAGCATGACCCATACAGCATAACAGTAGTAATGAAATGATTCTTTATGTCGTGAGCAGAGAAAAATGATTCAAAGCTATTTATAAGATGTGCTTTTTAATGTTAGTGGACGCTGCACTTGCCAATAACCAATTCCTGTCTGCCTCTAATTAACATGCAAATATTACCTAGTAATTAAAATTGCAGCCTCGCCCTTCACAATTCAGTATTTTCACCAATTCTCAAAATGTGTGCGTAATCTGGTTCTCAATGTACATCTAATACGAGGAAGCCATTAATATTAATGAGTTCAGTACACTGACAGATTCTTAGTGAGATTTACACTGGGGAAATAAGCAATTCAAATTATTAATTGATGCCTTAATTGTTGTTTGCTTGAAATGACAATAACTACAGCGGAACTGAAAAGCTGAAGGGCCAAATGTTCTGCCTGCTTTCACCATTTCCACGGGTGAAGAGTAATTAAAATTAGGATCACACTATGGCAGCATAACTAGATAACTGCTGACATGAAATGAAACATAAACATGGGGACATCCCTAACACAGAACAGATATCACTTTATGCAAATTTCATGTTACTTATCGAATACTGCCATTCTACTGGCCTGGGACAGATATTCTCAAGTTGCCTTGAGGCACTAACCACGGCAATATTACACACAAATAATGAGAAATAATAAAATCCACATGAGGAGGTTGAAGGGCTGAAATCACACTCAATTTACCACTGAGATTACAAAAAATATGAAATCAGAAAAGAATAAGCTTCAATATCAAAATAAAGCATCTTCATTTGTTTGATATTTGGATTTATTAAACTGCTGACGTGGTTCATGCATATGTTGTGGCTTGTTGTGTTGTCACTTATTGTTTCCTGCCCTGTTTTCTTATTGTTTTGTTTTAATTGTCTCATGTTTTTACTGACTGTGAAACACTATGGTGAACTTTGTTGTTTTTAATATGTGCTATATAAATACATTTTGATTGATTTGATTGATTGATGTTTGTCTTGGATTAATTAGTTTAGATCTGTCTTTCCTTGTTTATTTTTACATGTTTGTAGAACATAAAGAACAATTACAAGGATTTCATAGATTTTCTGGCAAATAAATAAAAATGTCCTTTTGGCAGCCATGCCGCTGTCAAAATTTTGGGCCACGACTGTAGTGCCAGCTGGCGTCTTTTATACAAACTCACCAGTTTCAGGTCCTTGCTCAGGGTCCTGCTCCTTCTTCTTGTCAGTGATGTCTTTGTGGGACACGAGAAAAAGAACCACCTCGCCCTTCTCATTCTTAATCGGTACAATGTCCAGAAGACACCAGAACTTTGTACCTGGAGAGAAAAATAAATGCAAACCTACAATTAATGTGGTCTTTCGTAATACAAAAGTGGAAGCGGTTAAATCTTTTTCTCCAATGTACCAAATGTTTCAGTCCTATACATCACTTTTAACAGACAAAGTCTGTGGAAGTCTTTACTGAACTATTTCTGATGCTCATAAATGTGAGTTATATGTGAGTTTACATTTTAAACCAAGCGAAACAGTGTCTGACTCATGTTATCTCATTTTTTACATTATTTTAATTTGTTAATTTTCCAATTAGTGGTAAAAAAGTGGCATTAACCCACCGCAGACTGCTGTTACCTCAATATTAATGATGTGACCAGCAATGTTTAATGTTTAATCTGGCTGCCTACTGCCGTGTACATGCTGCTGAACACAGACTCAGACTCAGAAAACACCCCCTGATGAAATTGGCTTCAGGAGCAGATTACTTTGACATTTTAGACAGACATTTCCTTCCATGTGCAGACACAGAACAGAGCAGGCATCAATCACACTGATTAAGTTAAAAATACCATAAAAGAGGAGCTGGGGTGGACGTGGGTTGCAAAGTTGCATGCAGATGCTCAGGAACTGTGGGTAGGCTGAAGTTGCTTAAATAGCCCTAAAATTATTCATAAGGAATCTATTAAAATGTGAGCCATCATCTAACTTGTACTGAGATCAGCTGATCTGACTTTTCTGAGCCTGTCAAGTCCTTCTTTTGACCCATTTTGCCAAAGGAAAGGAAGTTGCCTAATAATTATGCACACCTGATATAGGGTGTTGATGTCATTAGACCACACCCCTTCTCATTACAGAGATGCACATCACCTAATATGCTTAATTGGTAGTAGGCTTTCGAGCCTATACAGCTTGGAGTAAGACAACATGCATGAAGAGGATGAAGTGGACAAAATACTCATTTGCCTAATAATTCTGCACTCCCTGTAAAGGTTCAGATTGACTCCCTCTATATTTTCATACATGAAGGTGTCCTTAAGGTGTCCTTTTTTTCTCATTGTACCCACTGTACCAAAATGTTGATTTAGCCTTTTTGTTTTTTCTTGATTAGGTTTATTCTGTCTTGTCTAACCTTGGCCTCCTTCCCATGGACAAAGCTCTTGTTGACATTTTCCATCAAAAGCAAATTCAGGCTTTTGGACTTACCTCAGACCTAGTCATTAGTCAATTGTTCAATTACTTGTGAGTCTGTGAAAATGGAGAAACTATGCAAAAATATCTGTAATCATAAATGGAGTGTTTTTTATCATTTTTGAATTAAAGCTCAAAGACTATCAATCACATCTTAGTTATTACTAATTTAGAATAGAGAAGAGCAGACCTAATTGTATTATGAGAGTATGTTCACACTGCTCTTTCAGCATAGAGGGATTTGCTTTGCCATCTAAACCCTCAGAATACACATGGTGTGTTGAGGAGGTGTGGTGGCCCACAGATAACACACACACCTTCACTACAGGAGAGTCGCCTGGCTGCCTTACCGAGGGCTGTGATCACTGCCAAATATAGATGAAATAGCATAATTAAAGCTGCTTGTCTATGTGTTGACAGTATCAGAAATGTATTTAAACTCGAGCTAAATCAGTTCTAAAATCAAGTGATCTTAAAAAGTAATCAACACCAGGCTTGGATACATACATGGTAGAAATATCCTAAAAATCACAGCTGGTCTCAAAAATGCTGCTCTTCCACCTCAAAAATATTTATGCCCAAAATGATGAATAAGTAATCTGATTACATGTACTGTTGTAAAACATTTTATTCTGTTACCAGTGTTCATACACTTAATCACCAGATCACCACAGAACTGGTCAAATGAAATGTACTTGACTGGTATACATTCAGTTTGTACAAAGCATATGTTCCATAATAATTAATCATTTAAATAAATAAATCTTAGTTGTGTTCCTTCATGTCATCCAAGAACAGATTTTTCGAGTATGTAAATCTTTAAAAATGGCCCAAATATGTAATTTATCCTTTTAAAAGCACTTCCTCATGGAGTAATACATATTTGGTTGCCTAGCAACAACGATGATGAGATTGATGTATGTGGGACTGACTTGAAATAAAACGTGTGTAACATGAACCAGTATACACAGATGGTTCCGATACTTTCAGATAATCTTCACGGGGTTTATTGACAGTAGAACAATAGGTGAATAGTGCATTACCAGCCTTGTCCCTTATATAAGGGTACCAAATAAAACATTTAAGCCCTCTTTACTGTCACATAAATGCATGAAATCAGGCTAAAACTCGTTGCTTTGGTTTTCTGTTACCCATCTAAAGCTCTGATTTGTGATGTGATGGGCTGCAACTGGTACAGTGCACACTGTTTCCTGGAGCTCTGAGACTTGTGCCAGAATAATAAGGGGATCATGTATGTAAATAATACATTTAAACAAGGAAGAGGATTTCTTCAATAAAAACATAAGCCATATTGAGGCCAGATTTGTCCCTGTTTGACTGGAACACGACAGTAAAAAACAGTGTTGGAAACAGCATGTGCTCTCTTCTGTTCTACCTCTGTTTGCCTAACTCGAATGATGATATCAGGATAACTTATAATACAAGTTAGAACATTTTAAAAGTAACAGGTTCTCTTTATGTTTGGAGAGCTGATCATAGAAAATTTGGTCTTTATAGTAAAAAATGAAGTTTGCCAAAAACATTTTTGGCAAATCTGATAGAAGCAAACAATTTAGTGCAAACAGAGACACGGGGCCTATTTGGAAATCACTGAAATGAGAATAATAAATCAACAGCATAAAGAGTGCATGGAAAGCATTAAAGAGGCACTACTGTCTGCTTTTGAGCTCTGCTTTTAATTTGTATTTGTTTAGATTGACCTGTCAAATTGAGTATGAATGCCTATCAACAGCTACCATGCCTCACATCTGATCTCCTCAGAATTATCCACTGAGCCTTCTGATCCATGCAGGGCACGAGGATTTTGAAGAATACCTTGAGGAACTAAAATTGTTAAATCAATAATTTGTCCAAATTATATATAAAACATGTGGACGTCACTGTTATTTTTAACTTCACAGTCAAGCTAAACAGGCAACGATTCAAATATATTAGCAAATAATTATTGACTTGAAAGGAATCATGGCTCCCTCTGCCTCTCACCCTATGACATCAAGGATCGTCTAGGGCAGCGATCCCCAACCTTTTTCTGTTTATGTCCCACAATATTTTCACGGACCGGCCTTTAAGGTGTCGCGGATAAATACAAAAAAAATAAAACCAGTATCGGTGATCTGACAAAACACCCCACCTATCAAGTAACTTGTTACTGCGCATGCGCACAACTCAAAACGGCCATGATTTCTGTGTTAATAGTACACGCCTATTATTTGATTCTACCCTGATCTCGTGTGTGCAAAAGAAGGTTAGTGTTATATGTTTTACTTCTTTATTACAGTTGATTCTTGTTTTCCTTAAGCTGTTGTCAATTTGTTAACTTTTCAAGC